CCTCTTTTGGGGCCTGATCCTGCAGACATAAGCATATGCCTAAAGGAACTACTTACATGCATAAATTATACGTGTGCTTAAGTCTTTGATTTCTCTATTAGTTGATACTGGTGGATTATGCAGTATTAGTCTATGTATTTTTCCTATTTCACCTCTGTTTTGATCTTTTAGACAAGGTTACCGTAATAAATACTAATATTTATTAAAAACTATGGCCATTAGTTTTGTAATTCCTAACCAGCCATGAAGTATAGTGCTTCAGTCCTTGAGTTTACCTCACAGCAGCAGTTAAATAATACAGCTATGGTAATTCTGATGCACAGGGATGGATATAGCAAAGAGTTCTGTATGGTTGCAGGGGTCCGTCTTTGTGGAGCTCATTCCTGGAGCTGCACCATGGCTTGAGATTACAAAGCGCTTACAATATATGGTACTTATTTTAGGGGTAATAAACACTATGTTAATAAACACTCGGTTCCTGAGCTCCACAGGGAGGATGGGAAAAGTCAAGGGTTTTGAAACAAAAGGCAAGATTAGTGAGGAAAATTATTTCAAGTTTCAAAGAGGGATGTCATAAAGAATGGAAAGTTAACAGTGAATATTAAAAACTATTCAAACATTTCCTGTTAGGGCCCTTTCAATTATTTAGCTTTGGTATGCAAAAGTAATCCCCTTTGGAGAACTGCACTTGTTCTTCTCTCATGAGGCTTTCCTTCTGGGGTTTAAACATCAATGAGGTCTAATTCAGTAATTGGAAGCTTTTGTAAACATTCTGTCATGAATCTCTGCAAACTCATAATCATGTTGTCATCGAGTTTCCATATCCTCAGGGCAGCCCTTCACCTCAGTTTCCCCAAATAAACTTCACACAGACTTTCTATGCACAATAATACACCCTTCTTGGGGCCTGCGTTTATTCATATAAAAATAAACTCCAAATAAAATGCCAAGTCCCAAATTAAAGTCCAACTAAAGTCCACACAAAGAAAAATTTCTCTTCCTACTCCAAGGCCTTTCTGCCTGGGCCCTTTCCTGGTTTGACAGGCCACTCCCAGGCCCTACCTGCCTAGAGTCTCAGCCTCAACATCCAGGACTCTCTGCCGAGTCTGAGCACCCCTACTTCATGACGGCTTCCTGCTGCTCTTTATAGGGGGATCGCCTGATCCATAGCCATGATCAGGATTGGCTGGCCCCTAGGCCTCCAGCCCTTGTTGGACAAGCCACCCTACTACACACATCAACTCATTTTTATCATTTTCAGTTCGTCTTTCTCCAGAGGTAGATGCATTAACTTCCATGCAGTGTATTACACAGAATAGAGATCCTGGCTGCTTTGGATAAACACGGAAAATTCCACAGAACTTTTTTGTACAGCCAAGTGTATGCTCCTGAATTTCAATGATGAAATGATTACTATATGTACATAGCTTCTAAAAAGCTTTGAGATTCCTCAGTGTACGTGTGAGATATCTTTATAGCATTATCCTGCTTACATCAGTTGGGTATTAAATAGGCAATGTTTCTTGACCTGGGATCACCTTAGCAATCTACAGGCCCTAATTGTATTGCCCACAGAAACAGTTTTGTGTTTGGGCACCATCACCAGTCTCTCTCTCTAGGATGTTATCTATTCTTGGGATGGGCTTTGGCAGGAAGAAGCTATATGTCCACCTTCATGTCTCCTTCCCAGTCTGGTTTTCGCTTGAGTGAAGGGCAAGGTGAGTTTCATCATCTTTTCCTTTCTATGTCAGGGAGACAATAGCCTTGGGAACAGTTAAACACGCACTAGCATCAAAATCAATAATTACTTTATATACCTTTTAACAAATCTTTTATCATCACGTTGTTATTGCTGGCATTTGCTAGGCCCACCACTGTGAGAAAAGATACCTGAGAACTTATGTAAAGATGAATGTTGGTCATTTCAAAGGACTGGCCATTAGGAAGAATCAGCTATCATCAGAGGAGATCTCTTTGTAAGTAACTGCATAATGCTAAATAGCAGAATGCTCGCTGCTTTATCCCTTACAACCAATGGAGCGGATTCTGGCCTCCAACCCAACCCCTATATGCTACTCTAGTGGCATACAGGGGCAGTAAGGCACTGCATTGTCTGGTGAGAACTACCCTACTGCAGGAGCTAGGAGGGCTGAATATGAAGCTCTATGCTGTCTCAGTGGAAACCCCCAGTGTAGGGGGCGGGGCTGGATGTATGCAAGAGGACCAGAAGAGGGAGTCTCCATGGTGTTGTAATTCAGCATTGCTCTAGTTGAAACCACGGGCTGTGTCACCCCGAGTTGTAATTCAGATGGTACAAAGATGGCTTAGTTACCTTTGCCCTCAATTCCTCCCAAGCTGCAGCATCTGTGTTTGGCCTCCTGTTGGACACAACATCATATCTGTTCCAATGTTTCCAGCAGCGGACTGCTGCCTAACGCAACTGATGAACGTTCACCTCTCACTCAGAAACCGCAATTTACACATTATAACAGAGACGATCTTTGGGTTTTGACTCAGAATGTTATTTTTTAAAATTTGGAATAGGAGAAGTGAGAATGCTTAAGAAAGACTTCAAAACGCCGGAAGGGGCTCGGAAATATGTTAGGTAGCCAGTTGAGGTGGACACTGTCTAACCTGCCTAGACCCTTACAAAACAATGACCTTCACAAATCAAACTTTTCAACTACATGAAATATACTCTGGACCACATGCTGCTCTCAATCTCACCAGTGCATTCAAGAGTGAGTCAGCTGAAATAAGATTTACACTGGTGAAAAATGAAAACAAACTTTGGCCTTTCAGTCCTCTCAATCTCAATTCCTTACAGCTCTCAAAAAATTAGATTTCCTCTGGCACCTACTACAAGGAACACTAACACTAAATACATGTCTGGAAAAATGTCCTCTGTGGAAGAAAAAACAGTTTTCTTAACATATCCCTTCTCTAGTTTGCATTAAAATAATTACTTATATTTTCTTGCTACAAGGGGTCTGTGACATCCTTATTAAAAATAAATGAAGTTGCAAGTCATTAAAATAAAAGTAGAAGCTTTTTGCAAATTTCCATTGGAAATTTGTTGTAGGCATTTGGGCTATTTGATTTGAAAGCTAGAATTCCCAAGTGACACATGTGTGCACAGTATCATCACAAAAAGAGATTTAATTAACATACTGAATATCACTTCAGATTGTTACATGTATCATTTGTGACCTGTTATCCATCTTTAGAACTGTAATGTATATTGTGCTGGAAACATAAAGTTATTAAAAGAGGGGATCTATATGAATAAAAACATATAAGAAAGCTCCAGTTTTCACTCTTTTCACTTGTGAAGGCCTCTCTGCTTATTTGTGACTGAGGCTGAAGACTATGGGCAGGATTCTGATCCCACACTGGTGACGATTTGGAGTCATTCCACTGAGTTTTACTTGAACAAAACCAGTGTGAGATCCAGACCAGCCTATTCAATGACCACAACACATTCTAGGGAAAGCCTACGAATTTCACCCAACTGTAACACAAAACTACACACAAACATCAGAGCTGAGATATTCAAAGCTGCCTAGATGATTTGGATGCCCATTTCTTAGGGCTTGATCCTGTGAGCACCTGAGAGCAACTAAGCCCATACTTTGCTTTAAGTTAATGAAATCAATGGGACTATTCATGTGCTTACAGTTAAGCATGTGCTTAAGCACATTGCCAGATTGAGACCAGAGTGCTTAGCACCTTGCGGGACCAAGCCCTGAGGTGGCTTTGAAAATCTCAGCCCAGGGAAATTTCTTTTTGTAAAAATATTCTTTTAAAAGGTTTGCAGTTCATTGAGACTGAGTAAATGTCATGCATGCCTCTGTGCTATTGCCTACTTAAGAAGGCATAGAGACCGTTAACTTGTATGACTCTGACGGATTTAGATTTACAAGCCTAGAAAAAAAGTTGAACAATGAAAAAAACAGTACATTATTTTAAATCCTCTTTATTCCTTCTGTGTTTTACTGCTAAGCATTGGTATAATTCATGTACTTTAAAAACTGCAGGTTCTTAAAAGTTGCAAAATGTCTTTTTCAAATCTGGAGGGATTAAAACTATCCACTGCACAGAAAAGACTATTTACCTCTGGGAGTGCAGGAAGGGGGGATTAAGATGGGGAACACTTTAAGAAGGCCGCTTCCTCCATGTCAATATGAGTCTATAATATCCAAGGTCTTTGTGAAGCCCTGCAAACTGAAATCATCACTTTGCAGAGCTCTATCCCTAACATTTTTGAGTGATCCCGTGCAGTAGAAACTTGAACGGGTCTGACAGGAGTTGGATAGAAGTGTGTCTAGCCCAGCTGGTCCTGAAAGGAGGATTGGCTTCTTACCAGGGCACTGAGTGGAGAAAATGGGGTACGGGCTTCTTGTGCAAAGTGCAATGACCTGAAAACATATTGGAAGAGCCATAAAACTCCCTGGGAATTGCTTTCTTTCCCCTGAATTGATTTAAAGTAGCAATCCTGGGCTCTGAGAATGGATAAAGACGTACCTAAAGTAATTTCAAAAGTTCTGTGAATCATATTCACTGTACAGTGACTATTCTCAAAAATTAGAGAGAGAATCCTGCTGACCTAACTTTTATGAACAGCCCCATTTAATTCACTTACAGTATTTGCAGGAGTAAAATGAATGATTTGAAACAAAAACCACAAAATGGGTATTAGACAACCAAACTGTCGTCTACAAAAAAGATATTTTAAGAATGTCTGTGACTGCAGGATCATTCCCCCTTCATTGTGCTTTCAAATAATTGAATTTAACTACTGCACCTGGCAGGGGGAAGAAGTCATCCATTGTTTTTGCAAGGCATTGTTTCAACAGGATGATGACGCTGGAGTTACAAGAGGATTATTATTTCAGAGTTGGAGTGGCTCATTACTTTGCTCCTTGAAAACGTGTCATTTTAAGTCCCCATAAATTTTTCAGGCACGGCCCTGGTATAAATTATTGATTAGGTATAGCAATGTATACACACACTGGGCGCAATTAATAATGCATAACAAACTGTGAGATAATAAGCTTGTGTTTTTAAATTATTTAGCATACATCAGATTCTTATCTAGCCTCCATTTATACACCATTTTAAATGAAAAGTACATTTGCTTTTAAGATGTTTTTTGAGGAAAAAATCATAAATGTCGTAGGTGAAAGTCATGCAAAGCAATTTAGCAAGACACACTAGGTCATCTCTCTCTCCTCTGATTCATGCAAACTGAGCATAAGCTGTGGGACCATGAACACAGATGATTACATCCTCCTTACAGAGCTGGGACTTCCTTCCTCCAGGCACTGAGGTTACCACTGAAGTTAATGGAAAGATTCCAGTCAACTTCAGCGGGAGCTGGGTCAGGCTTTAACAGGACAGGAGTCTCTCCTGTTGTGCTGCCATTGGATTTCCTCTGGCATGGCAGCATGGCATATGTGACTCCTACAATGGCGGTGAGAGTGGCAGCTGGTCGTAGAGCTTATCGGCCATATTGAAGTGGTTTGCGGAAGCTTTATCTTGCATAGAAAATGTCCGGCTCTTACAGAGGGAATCATGCCATGCAGAGTGACTGCTCTCAGACTCCACCCCCCATTCATGTATAAACTATGGCATGTCATGAGAAAATACTGCTTAGCTGCATTTCTCTGCTATATGGCTTCCCCAGGCCTTTTCTACATAATCTATGGTTATTCACATACCTCCTAAGTAAAAGGGATATAGAGCCCACTGTTTGCATCATTCAACTAGCTTTTGGGGTGAATTGAATTGAAAAGAAAAAGCAATAGGAAAAAAGAATGCTCCAGTCTGAGACTGGGAGTCTGGAGTTCTAACTACAGTAAGTGACTTGCCCAAGATCATACAGAAGGTCTGTGGCAAGGCCTTGCCTTCCATATGACCTTGGGCAAGTCACTTACTGTCACCGTGCTTCGGGTTTTTCCATTTGTAAATAATAACAACACTTACCTACCGTATATACGTGGGGCCGAATGAGTTAACGTTTGTCAAGTGCTTTGAGGTCTTTGAATGGAAAGCACTATAGAAGTGTAATGTGTTAATAATAATGTGCTCTACTGGATTGAGCTAAACGTTGCAAACTGGAATGGGCCTGATTCTGACCCTGTCAACATCCATGACAAACCCTCACTGCCTCCAGTGACAGGGTCCATTTACTGTAACAATCAATTTTCATGCAAAAGAATTAATTCCTTGCCATCTCTCACACGGATGGAGTTTTGCCATTACAATGCAATGCGGGAGGAGGGGCTGGAAATGCACTTAATTTAGGTTTAAATGGATGAACAGATTATCCAAAGCAAAGACACCGAGATAAAATGACCATGCCATCCTCAAGTCCCTCAGTTATACTACAATATCACAGTACCACATATGCACTGCAGTAAGCGTCCCAGATCACTCTTTGCCCCGAATATACTGAATTCCATACTGAAGTGTAATGAGCTGTGTTCCTACAGTAGCCCTCAAGAATTTACAAGAGAGGCAGCTGAAGGGGAAGAAGAGGGGGCAGACGAAGGCTTAATGTAAATGAATGAAATAAGGAGAGAAGACAAGGAATGAGAATGGGGAGAAAAGAAGAGGGGTTGATGAATAGGAAGTGAACAGTAGAAAGCAAAAAGGAGAGCAGGTGAAGGAGAGAGGGAAAAAAGGAGCAAAAAGAAATAATTGGACTGATGGGAAATGGTGCTGTCAGGGAGAAGACAGTGGAGGCAACTATCACATAGGACAAAGGTGAACCACCCTCAATTGTTATAACTAATCCACCTGGTCAAGTTATCTACCTGTTTTCAGTGGTCAACATCTGATGTTCAAGAGGAAGGCATCAATTAGAAACCCTAATGGATTCCAATTGCTATGTGGCTTTCAGTGTATGCATTTGTAAGAGAATCCTTTGAACAAGCTCTCTCTGACGTGCCTTCTATCACATAACACTCAAGTAGAGGGCAATCAAGGAAGGATAAGGCTAGGATATTTACTGTTCCACACATGAGCACATAGTCTTTGAATTAACAAGGCGACATTGTCCTTTGCCTGGAGGCTCTCCCACATTAGCTTGTTGGAAGTGTTTGGTATGTCCTCACACACACATATATTAGAAAAACATCCATGAGATTATTAAATTTCTAGTCTCTGCAAGACCAAAGACGAATTTGTGATCAGAGGGAGTATGGTATTATACAGATACAATGTGAAATTCTGGTTCCATTGAAGCAGAACTCCCACTGACTTCAAGGGGAATATAGTATTCAGAGGGACCGCTCCCATCCCTTTCTGCTGACAGCATCAGTTCAGGAATCAAACAAGAGTAGATGGGAAGTTCAAGTTATTTTCAACTATAAGCCAAGCAGCTGAAAAAGTAAAAAGTAGCCCTGTGTCTAGGACTTGTTTAGGGGAAAAAATGTGCACTGATTTATTATTCTACCAACTTCAGTGGGGTATTTAAAGGTGTAAATCAGTGGTGAATGAGGTCCCTTAGTCTAGAAAAATTAAAACCCAAAAGGCCATTATCCGTGGCATACCTTTCTATGGGATTTCTGCATTTTTTAAAAAAGATATAAAACCTCAGCTATTTAGGGCAAAGTTCTCTCCAGTTTACTAGAGAATTTACAATACAGGAAATTACAAACTTAGCAAACTACCAAGCCCTGCTGCAAACATAATGGCTAAGACTGCGATAATCTTTTTGTCTATGACTGGGCACTGCATGTAAAGTCATAATACAACAAGTTTTGTGAGTCACTGCTAAGTAGCCAAGTAAAATGATGAATGTCTGAAAGGGTATCCCCAGTGATATTATTGGCAGGAGCACTCAAAGCTAATGCTATCCCCTAAACATATTAGACTGTTTAGGGACTGATCCTGCATTGCTTATGTACCCATAAACTCCCATGGACTTACATTACCATTAATTTTGATGGGAGCTTTGGATACACAAATAATGCATGTCGGGGTACTCAGAGAAATACATCTGGAAAGGTTACAGAGTCCATATTTGTGTCTGCACCTTTCAAACATCTACAACTGGGGAAACTTTTGATCTACTACATATTAATGCCCTGCTAATAAGGGAGCTTGGCTTTGAATACAAAGCAAAAAATAAACTGTTTATAAAATGAATTGTTGTTTTGCACTAAATCTTTTGGCCCAAGTAAAAGCTATGCACGGTCCTGAAATCATTTCCATTATGTGGTAAGGGGTAGGATGCAGATTCCATGGTGCACTACGGAGCACAACACTATGCAGGCTCTCAAGGCAGAACCTTGAAAGGGGAGGTTACAGTCATTGTCAGTGGGTCACTGACTACAGAGAGGATCTAGCCGAAGCCCATATAAAGACAGAGTTGCCTCGTGCCCTACCCTGAGGTTGTGGATATGAATGTGTGTGGGAGGATTCCAACCCTGCCAGGCCTGCACATGATCCTTCTCTCTGCATGCAAGTCATACACTTGTGGTAGGGAGTGAGTCCAGATTTCAGATCTGCTACCGCTTTACTAAAAAGTACAGTAGCAGCCTTGAGATTGAAAAAGGAAGGAAAGAAGTTAATTAAGAATTTGTATTTTCGCATTATATTTGTGCTATTAATGTAAAAAATACTAAATTCTATTAATGTAAAAAAAAAGTTAGCGCTATTCCTAAAGAGAAGCTGGTGATCAAACACAAAAAGGAAACATTTTGAACGTTTAAGGAAGATATATATTCTGATCACAGATACCATGGCATAACTAACTGTTATCTGTTATTATTATTGTTTTTATAAAGTTTATTTTTAAAATCAAAGTAGAAAATTACATGAACAAAAATATGTAATTTTTAGAAACGTACTAAGTTTATCATTTATCACCCATTAGCTGTTAAAATAGTTCCTTGATCTAGTCTTTTGATCTTTCACACAAATGGGAGGCCAACACTGATTAACTACCATCAAAATTAAAATTCCTTATTACTGCCAGTTTAACTGTAATACAAGCATTGAAACATTAGTCTGTAGACAGACCAGAAATTAAAATTGAAATCTGTAACATACTGGATCTAATATAGGAAACATGAAAGCAGAGATGACCAGAATGGTCCATGAAGAATTAGACCAGGAAGAACACTCTGTTGAATGACACTGTATTCATGGACAATAGCCTGTTGATATAATTATGACTTCCTGAAACAAATCTTACAACATTTTGGTGACCTGAATATGGTCCACTGGAGTCAATGGATTCCCATTGGCTTCAGCGGTAACAGGATCCAGCCCACAATCTCTAAAACAAAATGAACGAGAGACACAGAGAACGAGATTTCAGAATACTACATGATCTTAGCTGACATGAAAGAGAATACAAAAGATTCAACGCACAAAATCCAGTGTAGAAAATTCAGCAAATATGCCATGTTCAACAACAGCGTTTTGACATATCTCATTGTTTTTCCACAAATGGAAAAACATCTATGATCATCATCTATTTTTACAGGCTGTCATTACTATCGAGAACGCTTTGAGCTAAGCAGGCTAAAAAGATATCTCCTTTTTTTATGCAAACTGTGTTTTGTTTTTGTATTGCTAAAGAACATTACAGCAAAGGGCACACTCTGCTGGTCAGAAGCACCCTTTATACCAGGTGTCTTTTACAATGACTCAAAAACCGATCTAACTACAGGGGATCAGGATCTGAAGTGGTTAATCACTAGCAGGTTGCTATCTGACTTTTTTCATAATCTCAAATATTGGGGAACTTGTCTATGACACTCTCACTATGTGCAAACTACATCACACTTCTCTAGTATCAGATTGATCGGTGCATACAGTAGGAACATTTGCTGCAAAAAGTTTTTAAAAGCATTATGTCACTGTTCAAAACTCTTTACCTTGGGCTTTTCATCCAGTATTTGCTGACGAATCTCCTTGTGTTTTTCTACAAGTTTCTCCTGTCTTTTACTTTGAGCATCTTCTAGCTATAAAAAAGAGCAAAAAGTTCTGTTTCACCGAGTACACAAATCTGCTTTTTTCCAATTAAAAATATTACAATTCTCTAATGACAACTGTAAACCTTTTTAATATAGCTGTGTAATCCTCTTTTTGATATGCACCAATGACTGCTGTTGCTGGCAATAGTTCTTCTACGCAGGAGCGGCACCAGGGTTCTTGGCGCCCTAGACAGGGGTCCTTCCGCGCTCCCGGTCGTCGTCGGCAATTCTGCGGCGGCGGGTCCCGGAGTGAGTGAAGGACCCACCGCAGAATTGCCGCCGAAGACCCGGAGCGCGGAAGGACCCCCCGCCGCCGAAATGCCGCCCCCCCAAATCCTGGCGCCCTAGGCAACCACCTAGGTCGCCTAAATGGAAGCACCGGCCCTGCTTCTACGGGTGCCTACACCACACACTTCACAGGAGAGACAAGGTGGGTGAGATAATTGGATCAACTTCTGTTGGGGAGAGAGACAAGCTTGTCTCTCTAATATCCTGGGCCCGACATGGCTACAACAACACTGCATATAAACTTCACAGGAGGCATTCAGAGTCAGACTGCAAAATATCCGTGACAATGCAATGCTCCTAAAAATAATATTTTATTGCAAACTTTGATCCCCATCCTACAAGAAGCCTTGTATGGCTAATTCCTGCACCCAAAAGGAACTCTTTGCAGGACTGGGGCCTTGAATAAGGAAACATGTTCACAAATTTTTGGCTACAGTCCAGAACTTGGGCCATGGTTCAGCAAAGTACTTAAACATGCACTTGCCTTCCATGGAAATAAAACACTGGCTTAAAGTTAAGCATATTCTTAAGTGGTTTTCTGTACTGGGGCCTTTGTGAGCAAAAATGACCCAGCTGTTGAATTAAAA